TTGAACCCACAACCCTTCGGTTCACAGGCCAAGGCTTTAACCACTGAGCCACACCAGACAGGGCTCTTCCTCCATATCTTTAAATAATCTCTCCTCATTCAGGACTGTTTAATTTTTTGTGTTTACCACCCCAAGTCAAGTCTCCTTCCATCACCATTTATTCCGCCATTTACCCTCTTCTACCTCCCCCGCTGCCCCCCTTTCCCTCTGGCAATCACCATGCTGTTGTCTCTGTCTATGGGGTTTTTTTCTTTGCTTAATCCCTCAGTTTAAGTGTCACCTGCCCAGAGTTGCTTTTCATGGAGATGTTATCTAAATGTGCTCCTTAGTTATTCTGTTTTTCCATCAATTTTTTAACATAACATTTTCTCTACTCAGTATTTTTTTATGTATTAGTTTAGTCATTTGTTGCTTGTTTCTAATTACTGGAATATAAAATCCACTGGAATAGAGATGTTCTCTGTCTTTCTCACTACATATTCCAAGCAACTAAAAGTCAATAAATGTTGGTGAGGGCAATAGCATAGATGAGTCTGTCCCTTCCTGACTGCATAAAGATTGCAACCCAATGGGACGGAGTAGTTCTTTTAAAAGTGTAATTACAATTACACTAATGAGCACAGGTAACCACAAAACAGTATCCCAATCTTTTAAAAATAATAGTATAAAAAAGAGAAAAAAATTCATGGACATGAACAACAGTGTGGTGACTGCCAGGGGGAGAGGTGTATGGGGGAGGTGTTGAAGGGTATGGGGGGGATAAATGGTGATGGAAGGAGACTTGACTTGGGGTGGTGAACACACAATACAGTGTACAGATGATGTGTTGCAGAATTGTGCACCTGAAACCTATATAATTTTGTTAACCAGTGCCAACCCAATAAATTCAATGAAAAGGGAAAAAAATAAAAAATAAAAATAATAGTGTATGATTTTTTTGGTAAAGATAAACAGGGGTAAACAGAAGAATAAATAAAAGGTAAACAGAGGAGAAGTAAACAGAGGAGGCTGCCCAAGAACCTAGAAGTCCTGCCTGGGAGCTCCAGTTTCCCTAAGACCTTATAATGATATACTGATTATTACTGGGAAATCCCAGAACGAGTCTATAAAACGTCTAGTCATGTATTTTGCTTCTCAGAACATTTTATTATAGAATACATGAATGCAGAAGCAAGTTTGGGACAAGGCCTGTTACTTGCTGGCAAACCTGCAGCCCCTACTCGTGAACCAATGACGCTTGGCATCTAGCAGGCTAGCTTAGTTATTCAAACCCTCCGGCAGGTACAAGGGAAGTTATTAGGATTGGCTGCAGCACACACTCAAATGCATGAGCGTTTTTATGCTAGGACTTTTGTTCTTCAGGTCTAAACATTTTAGAGCACTATAAAATCACTTACTTTTACTTCCTCTCTCTAGATTTTCACGCTACATTGTCAAGTGAAGCAATTTAGAATAAAATGCCTGGGCATCTATTTTGTGTGCAGAGTGTACGCTGCCTATCACGCCTTTCACATTCCAGAGCTTACACTGGTTAATAAAACTCTGCTATGAGGATGAAAACGGAAACATTAACATTCAGAGTTGTCCTTGAAAGTCATGTTGAGTCTGAGTTTTTCTGAATTATATAAGCCAGGACTGGGAACATTTAAAATGTGACATCCAGGAATTTTAAAAATAATAGTTACAACAATATTTTGGTAGCCAACAGACCATAGGTTGGTTTCTTTAATTTAGCCAGTTCTTTTTTCCTATCACTCGAGTATGAGAGTATATATAATTACATATATTAAAAACACCTAGGAAATAATTCTATATTGTTCAATTTTTGCATTTAAATTGTTATTTTTACTGTTTTAGTATATTTTAGTAAAGGAACTTGAGCATTGTTTGATCCATGAAATGCTTATTTTCAAACTCAGACTGAGTCTTTTTAAAACATATGTGATCAATTTAGTATTTATTTTCTCCAGTACTTGGATTTCTGATTTTGTTTTGCATGTCTCTTTGTTTTATAATCAGAAATTGCATTTTTTCCCTGTTGATCACGGGTTTACATTTTATGCTTTTGCAGCAGTGCAAAAGAAGCATTAAAGCTAGTTGTGAGCTGATAACTTTAAAATCACATAAGAACTATCTGGACTTATGTGAGTAGAGAGAAATTTAAAAAACACAAGAAAGGCTCTTCACAGTGGCTGAAAATCGTAAAGAGTGTATGGCACTGGGGTAGATTCACATAAACTCTATTTAAGTTATTTCCAGTATTTCTTTTCTCCTCTACGACTTTTTTGAATTATATTTCTTCTTTCACTCCTAATCAGAGATTACAATAAAACAAGATTAAACAGGCCTTTCTGAGCATACTCAATAGCTGTAAGACAGAAGCTACTACAACACTGTAATCATATTTCCTATTTTCCCAGACCTTAACTCTGAAAATAAATATTCATGAATGTCATAGTATTAGCTAATACCCCCCATATCAGTAAAAGATAAAACGCTATAAAATATCCAACGTCCAGAGTTCATTTTTAAAACAGGCTGTTTCTTAGAAGTTGCAAAACTGCCACACACAAAATGGTGGGTCTAAAAAGTTAAATTTTTCTGCCAACCTATGTAGCCACGAATAAGGATCATGATCATTACTACAAAGTATACCCTCCGGCGTCCTTCTTTGAAAAAATATGGATTCTCAAGACTACTAATTTTTAAAATATACGGTGTCTCCAAAAATATATGCACACTTTAACAGCTGATAACTCAATTTTCACTCCTTTTCAGTGTTAAACAGTGACTTTATAATCATTCAAAGTGTGTATACATTTTGGGGGGGCACCCTGTACATTAAAGATTTATAAAGCCATTTCAAAATGAATTTCTAATTACATATTTACTTCTTATGGATTTGAAGTTCTCTTTGCTAGATGTATACAATGGAGATTTACAGTTGGTTTGCTAATTAAGCCTGAAATATGAGCCAAATCATTCCAAATACAGATGTACCCACAGAGAAGTACACTAAAATTTTTGCCTATCAGAGGATAATGTATTCAAATTAAAGTGTTGTAATATATGATTGTTAAAGTATGTTTTTCTTTATTAAAGCTGTATAAATTATTTACACATATATATACATACTACATATTTTATTATGTATGTCTTGCCATTATTTTTATTAAAGTAATGCATATGCTACACATACCAGATTTTTAAAACATTTGTCATGCTCCTAAATAAATTTCTATACCATTATTAGATACAAATGGCAGCAATGTTCTCTGATATCAACTAATGATCTTTTTCTCCCTTATGACAAGAAAAAAGGCCATCAGTGAAAGTTAACATTAAAAATGCTTAGATATGAAAACGTAAGACTTTGTTATACCTCTGTAAATAATTCTATTTCTTATAAATCATCCTCTAGTGAAGGCGCCTGACCAAATTTGTTATTCTCTTAGTTCATATTCACAATTTTATTATTTAAATATGACTTTTCTTCCATTTCCCTCAAACGTCATCAGTGGAACCGAATTCTTCTTGCTCGAACCCATGCCAAGCTGGTTTTTAAAAACAGGATCAGCAGTTGAGCATCGACCTAGGGATCATGATTTGATTCCCGGTCAGGGCTCATGCCTGGGTTGTGGGCTCGATCCCCAGCAGGGGGCATGCAGGAGGCAGTTGATCAATGACTCTCTCATCATTGATGTTCTTTCTCTCTCTCCCTCTCCCTTTCTCTCTCTGAAATCAATAAAGACATATTTTTTTAAAAATATTTTAATAAAAATTTAAAAAAATAAACAAAAAAATAGGCTTAAGACAACCACTAAGAGTCACTTCAGTGTTTACTTCAGGCTTATGCT